ACTAAGTCCCATCCTAAAACAACTTTTAACTGCTAATTTATCATCCTCCCTCCCAGTGACAGGGAAGATTTATAGTGGAAAAAGGCTTATTTAACATTACTCTGATGCCAAAAACACATGGTATTACACTTTTGGCGATACTGGTCAAGAAGCAACAACCAAGGAAAACAAACTGCTAAGAAATAACCCCCCCAAAAAACCCATTCCCATAATTGTAAGCCTTGGCATCATTCCATTGGAATAAACTCCAGTGGAATTCCAACTTGAAGGTTGTTTACAGCCGGAGGCCAAATGTCCCATTTCATCCTCCTGCAGCCACCTGCCTATCCCTTATCTGCACCACAGCTCTGCTGTGCTTATCAGCACAGTGATCCTGCTCTGCCACAAGCAGACACATTCCAGAGCCCCACTGACCACAGGGGAACTGAACATGGCAAACATGTGGCATTAGGAGAAAGCCACTGTGAGTTCTTCTAACGTAGGGTCAAGCCCACTGACACGGGAAGATACGCAAAGGACGAGGGAGGAGAAATGCTCCCTGCATGTGGTACTGCTGAAATCCAGAAGGAACACACTGGCAGAACCAAGGTTGGAGTAAAAGAGAGGTGGGAGGCCAACGGGGGCACTCCCACAAAGAGTATCTACCTCAGATGAGAGAGACTTAAATAAATGAAGTGGGGAAGAGGAGAAGAATGAACAGCCAAACCTCCAAAGCACAGGACTTCATAGCAAGAGGAACCTTCATTGCAGGCATCTGTCAAAAAAAGAAGGAAAAAACAGGACACACGTTGCCCAATGAGTTCTCAGATACTTTGAGATTTTTTTTTTTATATATAGGAGGTAAGAAGAAAAGAAAAAAAGAGGAGGAAAAAATAAGCCATGGTAAAAACAAGAGCTCTTCTAGTTTCATTCTATCAAAGGGGAGGAACTGACTAAGAACATGAAAGTGGAAACAACCCAGCTAACAGAAGGCATAAGAAGGCAACTCTCACAATTCTTGAAAAGGGAAAACAGGGAGCCACAAAATAAAGAAAATAAACTCATGGTAAAATGCTAAAACCACAAGCGATCAGTAACCCAGGAGAAAAAATATGAAGTTTACTGACAAATCATCTCAGCTAAACACAGGTTCTTCAATAATTTGAAATTCAAGGTATTTTGCACAAGGGCAAAGCAAATCACTGAAGGTCACCTCATTAAGTGAACAGCACAGTTAACAGAATAGGAAAGGTTAGAGCTTTAGGAAAGAAACTACCAGGAGGCAACACGAAAATATTCCTTCAGAATGCCTGCAGCGAAAGAAAGAGCAGTTGAAGCAGGAGCACATTAACCCGGTATTCAGTGGGAAGGAAAATCTCTAACAGATGATGCCAAAGCACTTGGGGCATTTTCTGCATCAATCTCCACTCAGTAAGACGGATTAGCTGGCTAATGTAACTCATATCACAGCAGAAGGAGCAAAAGCACGAGCCAGAACTGGGAAATGCATTACAGCAACTGCTCCAAACCTCCCGAGCCAGCAAAGCCGAGACTCTGAATTTTCCATGCAGATTTATCGGGAAACTTCAAACAGAAAGCACAGTAAAGGCAATATGCAATTGCAGGCAACTTAATGAGCCTCCATAAACCCATGGATGTGTAGTCCATAAACCTGTGGGCTATTTCCAGGGGTTATATTAAGAGTACTTCAAGGTTTTCAGTTCTGGTAGGTGCAATATTTATCCTTTGAAAACGGACAAAGGCAGATCATCTCTGCTCTCTGCATTAAGTGCCAACAACCTAGAGAAGGACAAAAGCACCTGCCTCTAAAGAGCAGGAAACCAAACACACAGGGAAACACAAACCAGAGTCAGGCTCACCACCAGTCCCTGGGAAGATGTTGAAATAATCAGACAAATTACCTCTTTCAGATAATGAAATAGATAAGATTCAACACACAATTTCTTAGGAAAAAAATCACATCAAAGGAATATAATTCTATCCAATGACACAGTAACAAAGTAGGTAGCAAAACAGCAATTACAGGCAAAATACTTTTGGTTTAACAGGATTTTTGACACTCTTAAACTGACAGTCATATAACTGAAACAAACACAGAACACACTGAAGTACTGGGAGATGATTAGAACCCCACACCCAGAGATAAGCTGTCATTATTTCAGTCAGAGAGAAAATTGATAGCAAGCCCATTCACATGACTCTAATCTTTTCTCATTCTCCACTGTTACAGAAAGTAACCAGTGGAAGAGGGTTATTCAGCAAGGAACTCACTGCAGGCAACTCCATATTTTGCTCTGCCTTGGTTTGATTTCTTTCTTTTACAAGAAAGATCTCCCTGACAACATTTTGTCCACAAACTACACGTTGGAAAATATCGGGGCAGTAACAGAGGACAATCTGGGACAGTTTCAAAAGCCTGGATGGAGGGACTCAGAATCTAAAGTCACTTGAACCAAGTGCAAAAGTCACCTGAAGTAACACGTTGTTTAACAGAGCAAAAACATAATAAGTTGCAGAACACAACATGGAAGGCAAAGTTAAATTCTGTTCTGCCCATGGATATGCTGGGTGGCAAAGGGCTAAAGAATCTGAGCTTATCCTGATAATAAATCACACATGTCACTGCAAAAAAATAAAGACTCATCATCCTGCCTGTACGAAATGCATGTGAAATCATATGAATCGTGTGAAAAGCACATTAAATAATTTTGACTCTGGCTGATGTACTAAGGACTCAGAGGGAACAGCGGGTCCAGTTCCAGCAAAATGCAAACCAAGTGGAAAAGGTCTCAAGAAAAACAGTGAGAACAGCCCACAGACGTATTAAAAAATAATTTCTAAAAAAAATCACTCTAGAGAGGAGACTGAAGGAATGGGATTTCTTCAGAGTGGAAAACAGCAAAGAGAAAGCCCCCAAAACATGCAATGCATTCCTACAGAAGAGGTGTAATCAAGAGTTCACAAGGTATACCTCATGTTAGAACTCTTAAATGTTTAAGTTATAGCAAGTAAATGTAGACTGGAAATTAGAAGTATTTTCAATGGTAAGAACAGCAAACTATCAGAATGGATTGCCTCAGGAAAAATCTCCACCAGAAACTTACTTTAGCTCATTTGCTTTGAGAACTAGTTAAACATTCCTTCCTTGTGCCTGAAACACAGTGAATTTATGGGAGAACGAATGTCAGTTACCTCCCTTTTTTCCCCTTCCTTCATTCACAGGTGGATCATCTGAGCTTCCAGGTTCTGGATTAGTTATTGTGAGAATTTATTAACCATTACTAAGAAACAACTACCAGCATGAAGGCTTTGTAATGTTGTATGGAAACAGTAATAAAACCACAACCTTAAAGGAGCTATTGGAAGGAAAATGCAGAGGGAAAGCGACACACTTGAACCAGATCAAGATGGAGAGTCCTTAATTACAACAAAACCAAAGAAATGCAGAGATTCTACGATTCTACTCTGCAACAGAGGTGCAAACAACAAGAGCTGGGGGAAGCAGAGGCAGAACTCGTGCAGAAACAAGAAGCAAGGCAAGGACATCAGTGCCAAACACGGTGTCAGCAGCTGCACCCACCAAAGCACAAAACACCATTTTCTCAATTAAAGCTCAGCTACAAAAAAAAAAAAAAAAAAAAAAAAAAGAAAACAACAACAACAAAACACAGGGAACCAAAGCAGGAAAGGAAACCGAGACGTGCTGTCCTCTGCTGGAAGAGGCTCTGGATGAGCCTGAAAGCAGAAGTTCATGAAGACCACAAGTCCCATGATCTTCACTGAACACCAGATCGAGGGATCATTTTAAATCTGCTCTGTTTTGCCTAAATTTGGCTGTTGCCTCTGGAGCTTCAGCTAATGCTGCACTTGGACACAGAGAGCACCCATCACCAAAGGGCCACTCCTGATGCCACCTCTCCTGCTCCACCACCACCAGGAGATCCACACCTTCATGGTAACACAAGTGCTTGTGTGGCCACAGAGAACAGGATCAGGGAACAGAATGGAAGGTAACACTTTTTCTACTTTTTCCTAAGACAGTAAGATAAATCCTTTCTTGCAATTCAGTTCCTTCATTCACAGTATCAAGTTCACTTCCAACACAGTATCAAGTCAAGTAAAAGCTTTCAGGCTGGGTCTTTTGAATGTAATTCACATGTAGCTTAAAAAATATAAATATACATCACAGGAAAGATGAAAAGACACAAAAACTCCAAACAAAATAAATAAGAAAAAAAAAACGAGAAAGGGTTGCTATTGCAGTATGAGCCTTCTATCATGGACATCCAGAAAGAATGTAGAGTACAGCCTTTTAAACTTTCACATTAAGGATGATCTCCAGGTCTGAAAGTGAATGAGTTCAGACTATCTGCAACTTAAATCAGGTAGAGCCAGTGCTGGGAATTATCTGAGGGTTGAGCTTTGGGGGGAAAGGGAAAAAAAAAGGCATAATTCTTCTTGGGAAAAAAAAAAAAAAAGAAATGAGTGAACACGACCATCTGCACTGGTTCACTGGAGGGGTTTCAAAACTTCAGCAAAGCATTCTTCATTCAGGAGAATTAACACATTAAAAGGATACAACAAAACACCTTTTTTATGATTCTTACGTTTCTCAACTATGCGAGCACAGCGTTAAATACAAATAAGAAATGTTTAAGTCGATGAGAAATTTATTTTCCACGGCGTTACCGGCCTCGCACCCCGAAGCTCCGCAGCCCTGAGGGACAGGAGCCTGTCCCAGCCACATGCCGGGTCTCGTGGGCTCCTGCCCGCTTCCCCCCAGGAATTTCGCTGCACAGAGGGAAGACCCGCACCGGACCCAGCCTGGCCTGACACGGAGGCCGGGGGAGGAACCGGTGGCACGAGGGGCCCGGGGCCGCCCCGCAGACACCGCTCGGGGCCGGCGGGGCCGGAGCCGCCCCCACCCCCGGCCCGGCCGGGGCAGAGACCCCTCCCCCGGGGCCCGCCGCCTGATGCCCCCGCGGCCCGGCCGCACTCACAGCGTGTGCCCGCAGACGTTCACCATGAGCTTGAGCGAGGGGTTGCGGTACTTGGTGGTCTTGCAGCGCGGGCAGCCCAAGTCGTCCATGGCCGCCCCAGCCCCGCTCCCTCCGCCCGCCGCGCCTTCCGCCTTCCGGTGCCGCCGACAAACGGCCCCGGCGCCGCCCGCCGCCGCCCCGCGCGTTCCGCGCCGCTCCGCGGCCCCGCCGGGCTGAGCGGGTGCGAGCGGGCCGGCAGCGCCCGCCCCGCCGTGGGGCTGGAGCTGTGGCTGTGCCGGCCCCAGAGAGCCGGCTGTAATGAGGGAGAAGGCGGCACTCGCCTACGAGTAACCAACAGGAATCGCTGAGAGTCAATTGGGTTGGAAAAGACCCCCGAGATCCTCGAGTCCAACCTGTGCCCCACCACCACCGTGTCAACCAGACCATGGCACCGAGTGCCACGTCCAGTCTCTCCTTAAACACCTCCAGGGGCTGTGGCTCCACCACCTCCCTGGGCAGCCCGTTTCGATATCTAATCGCCCTTTTTGTGAAGAAATTCCTCCTGATGTCCACCCTAAGTCTCCCCTGCCACAGCCTAACGATGTGTATCATCTTCTTATCCTGTCACGTGTTACCTGGGAGAAGAGACCTACTCCTAGATATCTACAGTCTCCTTTCAGGTAGTTGTGGAGAGCGATAAGGTCACCCCTGAGCCTACTCTTCTCCGGGCTAAGCGCCCCCCCCAGATGCTCCACATCACACTTGCGCTCCAGCCCCTTCCCCAACTCCATTGCTCCTTCTCTGAACGCGCTCCAGCACCTCAATGACTTTATTGAAGCGAGGGAGTCCAGAACCGGACACGGCGGGGTCCCTTCACCCCACAACCCGTCCCAACCGAGATGCCTCACCCCGGGGCAACCACAGCACCGGAGAAAGTTCACCGCCTGCCCCGTCCAGGGCGAGCCGCAGGTGCCGGGACCCGCCGCCCGCCCGCGGGGGCTCCAGGTGGAGCCGTGAGGGGGGAGCGGCACGGGGCGCGCGCCCGTTTGATTGACGGTTGCCATGGAGACGGGCGTGACCCCGCCCCTCCCGGCGCAGCGCGGCCCAATAGGCGGGCGCGGCCCGGCCAGCGGTGGGCGGGGCCACATAGTCTTGCGGCGGGTGCGGGAGCCGCGGCGGGGGGAGCGGCGGGAGCGCGGCCGGGACACAGCGCCGGTCCCGGATGGTCACTGCGGGGCCGCGGGGAAACCTGATCGGCTGCAGCGGGAGGAGGAGAGACAGATAGGGAAAGGGGGGAGAGGAGGAGAGAAGGGGACCCGGGCGGGGGGGGGGGAGTGAAGAAGAGGGGGGAAAAAAAAAAAGAAACGAAAAAGGAGGAAAAAAAAAATAAAAGGAAAACTAAACCGAAACATGTCTTCTGCCTCCCCCGCCACGGACGACATCGTGATCGCGGTGGAGATCAAGGAGGAAAATGTGATGGAAATGCTCTCGGAAGCCCCCGAGGCGCCCGCGCCGCCGCCCCCTCCCGCCGCTGCCCCGTTCCCCATGGAGCACGCAGGCTCCGCCGCCGCCGGCGAGGAGGGAGCCGCGGAACAGGTACTGCTCCACACTGAACTCCTGGCCAGGAACCACCACGCTGCCTCCTCTCCCTCCTCTTCATCTTCCTCCTCCTCCTCCTCGCAGACCCCTCTGGCTTTCTCCCCGGACCACGTCGCCTGCGTGTGCGAGGCGCTGCAGCAAGGTGGGAACCTGGACCGCCTGGCCAGGTTCCTGTGGTCTTTGCCCCCGAGCGATCTGCTACGTGGCAACGAGAGCCTGATGAAAGCCCGGGCGCTGGTGGCTTTCCACCAGGGCATCTACGCCGAGCTCTACAGCATCCTGGAGAGCCACAACTTCGACTCCTCCAACCACCCGCTGCTGCAGGAGCTCTGGTACAAGGCTCGCTACACCGAGGCGGAGCGAGCCCGGGGCAGACCTTTGGGGGCGGTGGACAAGTACAGGCTCCGGAGGAAATACCCCCTGCCCAGGACCATCTGGGACGGCGAGGAGACGGTCTACTGTTTCAAGGAGAAGTCCCGCAACGCGCTGAAGGAGCTCTACAAGCAGAACCGATACCCCTCGCCCGCCGAGAAGCGCAACCTGGCCAAGATCACCGGGCTGTCCCTCACCCAGGTCAGCAACTGGTTCAAGAATCGCAGGCAGCGGGACCGCAACCCTTCCGAGACCCAGTCCAAAAGGTGAGGGAAAACTTTTTCCTCCCCGCCCCCCTCTCCCGCCTGCCTTTCCCTCTCCCGGCTCTTTCTTCCCTTGCAAACATGGCGCTTACCTTCGGTGCGCCTCGTCCTCCCCTCCTTCCTCCTCCCCGCTCCCTCGCTCCCAACACACCCACCCGGCCCGGCCGTGCGAGGCGGCACGGGGGAAACTTCCCGGACCCGCTGCCCCGCGCTCCCGGGGCAGCTCCCGGCCCGGGGGAGCCGCCGGGCTGGCTCCCGGGAGGACACGGGACGGGGGGTGTTTGCGTGTGTGTGTCCCCCCCCGGCTCCTTGTTTTTATTCAATTGTCGCGCCTGACAGAGTTAATCATTGACGGCCGGAGGACGCGCGGGGTCCCGGCGCTCCCTCTGTTTTGAAACCTGACTCGGGAGCGGGCCGGGCTCGGGTTTCAGCGGGGGAGCGGGGCCGGTTCCCGGGGCTCCCGGGCGGGAGAGCGGCCCCGGCCCGGCCCCGCTCCGCCCGCGGCTCGGGCTCGGCTCCCCCCGCCCCGCCGCGGGGGCGCGGGCAGGTGGAGGTGACCTTCCCCCTTCTCCCCCCGCCTTCCCCCCCGGGAAGGGACGGGAAAGGGGGGAGAAAGCGCGGGGAGAAGGGAGGAGGAAGGGAGCGGGGAGGGAAAGGAGGGAAAGCGGCCGGCGGAGGGGGCCCCAAGGCATTTCTCAACCAAGGGCGCGATTGTGCCGCCGCGGCCCCTCTCCGCGGGACACATCAAAGGGCGAGGGGGGAGGGAGCGGGCGGGGGGGGGAGCGACCGAAAAATGCAGCCGAGGGCGGACCAGTCAGCGAAAAAACCCCGACGCAGCCCCGGGCGGAGGCACAAAGGCCGCCCCCCAGCCCTCCGTCCCTCCCCCGGCCGCCGGGCACGGCCGGAGGTGCCTCCGGGGGCAGCGCGGGCCGGGGTCCCCCCCTTCCCCCGGGCCGGGGGCGGCGGGCAGAGCCTTCCCGGCCTTCCCTCACCTCCCAGCGCTTTGCCAAATGGCCGCGGCCGACTCTCACACGTGTGGACACCCCGCGCCGGGCAGCCCCCTCTGGCCGCCGGGATGGAGGAATTTATTTACAACTCCATAACCCAAGTCTGTAAAGTTTCTCCTCGGCGAGTGTTTGGCTTGATGTGTTCTTTTCCAAGAAACCTCCTTCCTCCCTCCCCCCCCCATTTGGCTTGAATATTCGTTTAAAGTGCCTTGTAAAGGCAAAATACAGGAAAAAAAAACGTTCGTAGAAACTCTCGCAAACTGTGTTAAAGCCTGGGTGCAGAGATCCTGGCACGCCGTGGTAATGCAATGTCATGTCTCCATCTTTTCCCATAGCGAGTCAGATGGCAACCCTAGCACAGAAGATGAATCCAGTAAGGGACAGGAGGATTTATCTCCCCATCCACTCTCCAGCTCCTCCGATGGCGTTACCAGCCTCAGCCTTCCCGGCCACATGGAGCCCGTCTACATGCAGCAGCTTGGAAACACTAAAATAGCCTTGAGCTCGTCTGGTGTCTTGCTGAATGGAAACCTCGTGCCTGCCAGTACCTCTCCTGTCTTCCTCAATGGTAGCTCTTTTCTTCAGGGACCCAACGGTGTCATACTCAATGGACTCAGCGTGGGCACTTCGCAGACAGTTACCTTAAATTCACCCAAAACTGCGTCGAGCATTGTGAGCAACGGGGTGTCCATTACTGACATAATATCATCGTCATCAGAAGATGTTAAAGACTTCAAACTCCTTCAGGCTTCTGTCCCCAACGCCACAGCAGCCACATTCAGCCCTAGCAACATCCCAGTCTCTTTCCCAGGATTGATACCGAGCTCAGAGGTGAAAAGGGAAGGCGTAGAAACTGCTGCTTCCCAAGATGGAGGCTCTGTAGTTACTTTTACTGCTCCTGTCCAAATAAACCAGTATGGCATTGTCCAGATCCCCAATTCAGGAACAAATGGCCAGCTGCTGAACGGAAGCATTGGTTTTTCTTCTCTGCAGCTGCCTCCTGTTACTGTGGCAGCTTCACAAGGTAAAAGTTTTGTCTCTTGCAGTAAGAGGTATGAGGAAAAAGTTGGAATCAGGCACACTTGGCATTTAGAGAAGCTGTGGTCCTTTTTCTCCAAGGTACCGGGGTTGTATCTCTGCCATGGCCACACACAGAACATCAAATAACATCAAATAATACCTTTTGCTTCCCTTTATAGTGGGTTATGCTCGTGGGCAGGCTGTTAGATGAGGCTGAGCTCTGCTAAGACCAGGGAAGGAGGTCTGGTAATTTACCCCGCTTTCATCTCATGCTGTTCGCAGAAGTCTGTGATACCAATCTTCACAAATATCTGTAAATTTTACACGTTTCGGTAGTCAAAATATTCCCCATTTGCCACTGAATTTTTCCAATGAGAAGGTTCATAAAAATGAAAATTGCGGCAGCTGGAAGTTGTTACCACTGTTGCTCTTGTGGTGGTTGTTTTGTTTTTTTGTTTTTTTAACCAAAGCATGTCATAAAAATACATATTAAATTACTGTAGACACAACAAGACCAAGCAGTTACACTTGTACGTTTTCTGTTCCGTAATTAAGAAAGATTAAACTTGAGGGAAGCAGTTGAAGTAAGCAATAGCTGGTAGATGTAAAATGTGAGGGTATTTGGATAAAGCTACCCTCAGTCCAAGGGAAATATGTCATCACAGGTTCACGTGCCAAGTGTGCAGGCTCCTCCCCGAGTTTGCTTTAGAGTTTGTCTTAACATACCATAGACTGAACATTGCAGCCAGCCAGGAAGAATCCCAGGGAGCACAAACCTAGTTCTGTATCCTTGTTTTGAAGCAGGTCAGTTAAAATGCGCAACTGAACACCTTTGTTACTTACTAGACACTGTATGTTTGGTTATGAAAATGAT